AAGGCAGTGGAAAATTTTGCTATTCCAACAAAAGTACAAGAAGTGCAAAGCTTTTTAGGACTCTGTTCATACTTTCGTAGGTTCATACAAGATTTTTCAATTGTAGCTAAGCCGTTTTATGATTTACTGAGAAAGGATGAAAAATTTCAGTTTGGTCAAAGGGAAGTAGAAACCTTCGACTCACTTAAAAGAAAATTGTTGGAAGCACCCCTGCTGGCGATATATGACCCGAACGATGTTACAGAGTTGCATTGTGACGCCAGTTTAGTAGGATTCGGAGCGATATTGTTCCAAAAGAAGAAGGATACGAAACTACACCCCATTTTCTATTTTTCTAAACGTACGACGGATGTCGAATCAAGATATCATAGTTTTGAGTTGGAGACGTTGGCAATAATATATGCGTTAAAGAGGTTTAGAGTTTATTTGCAGGGTATAAAATTCAAGATTGTTACTGATTGTAACTCTTTAACTCTAACTCTCAATAAAAAAGACATCAATCCACGAATCGCGAGGTGGGCCCTCGAGCTACAAAATTATGACTATGAACTAGAACATAGAGCAGGTAAAAGGATGCAACACGTCGACGCGCTGAGCAGAATAAATAACGTCCTAACGATCCATACAAATACTTAAAAAACTTAATTATATATCAGAATAGGGACGAAAACCTAAAAACTATCAGGAAAAGATTGGAAGATACAGAAGATAGCAATTATGAGATGAGAAACGGAGTCGTGTATAAAAAGAAGGATGGTAATTTATTATTTTACGTACCAGAGTCGATGGAAGAACATGTTTTGTATAAATACCACGATGAGTTGGGCCACATAGGTGTTGAGAAAGTAGTGGACACGATAAGTAAAAGCTACTGGTTCCCCAGTATTAGGAAAAAAGCAGCTAGGCATATCGAAAACTGCTTAAAATGTATAGCATTCTCCACAAAACACGGAAAAAAAGAAGGGCTTCTTAATATGATTCCTAAAGGAAACGAACCTTTTGAAATGTTACATATCGACCATTATACAAACACATACTAGTAATAATAGACGCTTGTACAAAGTTCGTTCGGCTGTATCCAGCTAAGACCACGATGTCAAAAGAAGCGGTACTGTCGCTAGAAGATTATTTTAGAGCCTACAGTAGGCCAAAATATTTGGTGTCAGATAGAGGAACTTGTTTCACTTCCAATGAGTTTGAGGAATTCTTAGAAACCAATAATGTTCAACATATTAAAGTTGCAACAAACTCCCCGCAAGCAAACGGACAAGCTGAGATTGTTAATAAGACCCTAGGCCCGATGTTAGCAAAAATGGTAGATTCGGGAAATGACATTAGCTGGCAAAAAGTGTTAGAGCCCATAGAGTATGCAATGAACAATACCCTACACAAAGCGGTCAATGAACATCCTAGCGTAATGCTGTTTGGGGTGAGACAAAGGGGGAAAATATTAGATACACTGAAAGAAAATGTTTTAGATTTACTACAGGTGTCTAAGGCTAGGTCAGTGCTAGAGGTGAGACAGCAAGCTGAAATAGTACAGCAAAAAGCACAGAAG